TAGTCTTCTGCCTCTAAAAAATAATCATTGGTGATCCATCAAAGATGCTCTAAATATTACTTGTAATCTTTAACTCTCCATTCTCAATTTCTTGACAGTCTTGAAGATCAGCTTTGTAGGACACACAGGTGTTTACATAGCTGGCTTGATGATGACAACTCTGTTCATATAGGTTCCTTGTGCATCATGGTTAATGTTGTTTAGTGTCATTTTGACCTATGCAAGCTAGAGATGGCACCCATGCTCAAGAGAAATTTATAAACTTAGTAAGTAAAGATAAGACACTGCAGAATGTCATATACATAGGCTTAACAGCTTTTAGCTTGAACAAATATGAATACTTTCAGTGTGCATCTGATTTTACTTTTTGAAATAATTTACCTTAAGAGAACTGTAGCAATTTATAAACATACTTTTCTGTTCACAAGTATGAGTTTTGTATTTATTCACATAGTCTAAGGTCATAGTAATCTGTTCATAGGGTGCATTTTGTCATACACAGACTTTAGGCCTACAGATTTATCATGGTGATTAGTGCCTCAATAAGATGTTTATGATTAAGTTACCATCTTGATAATATGATTCAGGTGGCCAGTTTTTTAGATCTTTAGTTGGTGTTTGACCCACTGAAATTTGACTTTCAAGAAATCAGTATTTTAGTTACATAATTATAATATGTAGGGTTATTGTTGTTGTACTCTTTCTGGTGACAGCATCTGGCAGCAATAAGGATCAATGGAAATGGGAGAAGATACAAAGGATTGGGCAGGCAAAAGAGCAACAAAATGGAGGCAAAGAATATAGAGATTTGTATTTGTATTAGAATATGTCTAGAAAAAGTTTCATTCTGAAGCATTAGAGGGCATACTAGATTGAAGTAAATAAAATTTTATGCAGATTAAAGCTATGGTATACCTGAGTGTGGTGGCACATACTTGTTTGTAATAATCCTAGCACAAGAAGAGGTTGAAACAAGACGTTTGCAAATTTAATTCTGGGCAAATTATGGGCAATTTAGCCAGACCCTTTCTCAACCCTCCCGAACCTCCCCACCCCCCAAAAAAAACCAAGAGTATGATATAAAGCCCTGACATATATTATGTAACTTTTATTCAGGGATTCGGAATTTAGGCAGTGTGCATGTCTTATATTAGTCTTGAAATCTATTTTAGTTTTTGTCCACACTATAACTTCTTCTGGCTTGGTATTGTTTGGTTTTTAAAAACTGGAACATTTATAGCTGTGCACAATAAAAGAGATAGGTTTACATTTTAAGACTTGATCAGTTTTTCTGGAAATGAGTAAATTAATTTCACAGTTGATATATTTAGCAGAAATAACTTTTTGTTTTATGGTAAAAGCACAGAGAGTAGATCCATAAACACAGATACTATCAATCATTTAAATAGGACCAAATTAGCATAAAAAGTATTTTAAAACTTTTTATTATTTTGAAATATTTTTGTGCCCATTTTGATTCTTTAGGAACTTTCATTTTTCTCTCATTTTCTTATGACTCATATAGAAATACCTGCTTTTAAAAATAAAGTGAAAATATAAACTGCTTTTGTAAAAAATCAAAACTTGAGTAGAAGTAATACATCTATTTTTTCTTTGTGCTTTTTTAAAATACCAAAAATTGTGTAGTGTTTTAGAATGTTATAAACTAAAATTGATATTTGAGATTTATATTGTGAGGGTCTACGAAAAAATATATGTTAGGAACGAATTACTGGGCATTTTAAAGTAGAAAATATTGTATGTATTTATCACTGATATTTATGTATAAATAAGAGTGAAAAAGGCACAGAACCCTAATTATAGGGTGAGTAAGCTCACATCCTGAGGTTCACACTTGCCTTCTGCATCCTTCTGAGCAGTCCCCCTGCCCTACCCTTCTCTCTTCCTTGTGTTTCCTTCCTGCTTCTTGGCAGAACTGTTACATTTTTGCTTGTTTTAGTGTCAGTTTTTTATATTCTCTCAATATGATGCTTTCACTTTTGTTATTCGTTAAAATAAAAAGATAATCCCTTTTCAGGATTTTTCTTTTAATTTTATTTTTTCATTGTTGGTGTATATTTGTGAGACATAACTGCATCCACCACGTCTTGATCAACTTTATTTTCCCTTCTTTCCTCCCACATGCTCCTTTTTCTTCACCTTTCTTTTTCCTTTCTATCTCTACATGCCTACCTTACTATTTCCTGCTATCTCTCTTACGTTTTGCTCTTTAAGTTATTTATATTTGGATTTCTCATCTAAGAGAAGCCATGTAATATTTATCAAGACTTTTCCAAAAACCTTTTGTAGAAATGTTTGAAGAATATTTTATTTTAGATGATAGCTTTCAAAGTTTCAGTTTAGTTGATCAGTGAAAACTCAAAATGTTAGTAAGAATGTTTGTGGCATTATACTTATTATTTATCTTGAGTCATTGTCTCTTGGTGACAGTGTCAAAATTCAACAGATATTTATAATAAATGGAAGTATTAAAATATCTGGACATTAAACAGTATGATACCTGTAGTCCCAGTTACTTGAGAGGCTGAGGCAGTAAGACTGCAGAAGCCCAGGAGCTTGAGGCCATCCCAGGGAAACACAGTGAAACGTTGTCTGAAAACAAACAACAAAAACCCTTTGAAGCATATGCATGTTATACACAATGTACATCATTAGGTGTAGCACAAACCACATGGTTTTTGAAAGTTTTTTTCCAGTGTAGATAATTATTTAGTTTGGCAAGTTAATGTGCTATGAAGATATTAAAATGACAATAAATCATAATTTTAAGTGCCAAATGCCGTAGCTTAATATTGCTCGTAAAGTTTACTTAGAGAATGTAAAATGTGGTTTACTGTTCAATGTATGTCAAACTTCATGGATGAAGTATGGTGCCTGATATTAATCAGATTAAATGACCCCCAGTGCTTGAACTATGTGGTGGATTATACCTACATTGTTTATGTTTTTTTTTCTCCCCCTCTTTGCCCATATTAGCAATCTGCTTTTGTACTTCGACATCCAGGATTTCCCTAGTGAGTTTTGTCACAGAAAAAAGAGAATCATCAATATCGCAGTTAAACTTGACTTTCAAAGCTAATAGTATCTCATTTGGGGGCTCAAATTTAATAAATTTTCTTTGATTCTGGGTGAGTTTTTAAACATCAAACAATGAATTGGCCAGGGTGCAGTAAAATATTTAGATCTATTGACTATGGTTCAGAAGGGTAGCAGGCAAAACACTAGTGGTTTGATGTTGATAAATTCTTAGTACCTTAATCCACATTAATGTTTTCTTTTATCTGAATGCACTTAGGTGACAAAAAAGTGGGAGAGAAATTATCCATACATATAAATTGGTGATAAGAAATTATTCATACATATAAAATATAAGACCTATGGTATATATGTTTGTAAAGTATGATTTATTTTGTTATGCTATCCCAGTAAATTTAGCAACATTCTCATCATGACTGAAGACTCTTGAAAATGTTTCAGTTAAATATACATCTTGATTAGAACTCTAATGTGTATAAAGTACTCACCTGATTATAAAAATTGCATCATAGTATGCTTCACAGAATACACTTTGACATTAATGTATTGATGAAGTCTTAAGATCATTGTAGGAAATACAAAGATTCTCATGCCCATAGATTAAGATGAACAATTAAAGTGTCATGTATGTGTGTTTGTGTGATTTAAAGAAAACCTATACAGCATGATGGTTTTGTGAGTTGTTTATATTTCTTATGTAATTAATTCATAAAGTTAAATATATTTCAATTTCATATGCTTCCCAAGAATAACAGAAAAATGGAGAGTTAAAAATTTTTTTTGTCATTATATATAAAGCTGTCCAGGTAAAACTACAACTATAAATACCTTTATTTGGGAAATTAATGTTATTTTTGTAGTTTTTTCCATTCTTTATCTTTGCTTCCTAATTAAAAAATCCCTGTCTTGTGACTGTAAGCTAGTTCTATATCAATTATATAGTAGTAAAAAGCTAAATTTTAAAAACCTGTTCAAACATAAGAGAAGTTAAAAAATTGGCTAGATATGAAACATCCTATAATTATGTCATATGATTAAAAATTAGAGCTTAAGTTCAAACTGAACTGTGGAATTCTTAAGGCTTTTACTAACTTTGGAAATTCATATCCTAATATCTGTTTTTGAGAATTTTCTTATTTCTAGAGATTATTCTCTCATTGTCCAGAAGGTGGCAGTGTGATATCAACGGCCTCTGATTTCATAGGGGCTAGAGAATTGGTACTGTATTTTTCCTCATCTGTGATGTGCTTGCATTGTTACCTTTCTGAATGCTAAGATAGAGTACAAATATTACTGATTTTATCTCAGTTATTTTATTTGAGAGTTGTGTGACTAAGTTGCTTTATGTGTATTTAATTATTAAGACCTAAGTTTTATACAGTCCTGTGAATTTAGAAGAGTAAGAATGATAAACAAACCTCTTGTGTACTTTCAAAAATCTTTTTATGGTGAGTGCATTTGATTTTATTCCAGGATACATATTAGTAAACTTTCTTTCAAAGGCTGGTACTTAATAACTGTTGTAGTCAACATATGCCAGTTATATGCTAGTTAATATGAGTTAAATGTGTTTTAAGAAAGTGATAATTAAGAGAGGTGCTGCTTGTTTTTGATTTTGTTAACCACCCCTCCCTTCTTTTCTCTTTCTTTTTAGGCTACAACTGTGAAAAAAATTTCAAAAGCTCTTGATCGGAAGAGGTCCAGTGACTCTTCTTCCTCTTCTTCATTTCAAGCACGAGGATGCTTTTTCTTCTTAACATTCTCCCCCAGCACTCTGAATTAGAGATTTATTTGCAACGAAAAATCAATTAGTCCTAAATTTATTCATGGATTTCAGGTCCAGCGATCAATGCAAGTCCACTCAGTGGGCTCAAGGGGACCCAGTTCATCCCAGTTAATGTGTCTGAAGGGGAATTACCATTGATGCTGTTTTTTCCCTTTAGGTCAGAGATCAGATCTCGCTGTCACGGAGTGCAGCAAGTAGGAATGACTTCGCCCTGCAGCTACCCAAACTGCACCTGGAGACCTTTGCAATGGAGGGGCTCAAGGGCGGGCCAGAGGTGGTAGCATGCCAGGTTAGAGTCTAAATAACATTGTTTGTTATGGAGGCATATAGAAAAGTAAATTGCACTAACAGGAGAGAATAAAATCCGAAAAGTATTGTGAATAATTTAAAAGCAATGCAAATGAATTTTTCTACATTTTTCTTCTATCATGTAGCAGTATATTTCACACAAAAAATGTTTTTGTTTAGAGGTCTAGAACTAACCTATTAAAATATTCCAGGAAAGTGTTTTTGCAAAGGAAAAATACATGTTTTATGACAAAGTACAGAGGTAAAGGAACATATTTTGCTATCAGCAGAGAACAATAATACACTATGCTGTTATCTCTTCAAGGTAGTCTCCCTTGCTTTTTCTGTTTTAAAATAAATGACTTTAGATAAATTTTTCAAGAGATATACCTGATAGATCTTAATTTTAACTTGAAAAAATACCTAATGTTTCTTAAGTGGTAATTTAATTTCAGTACAACTAGAACCTAATTGTATTTTGTATTAAAAAGTACCCTTTAACATACAGTTTCATTGAGTATTATAATGCGTACAAACTGGGACATTTCATGTATTAAACTCAAAACACCAAATCATAGAACTCCAGGCAACTTTAAAATAAACTTAATAAAGAAACATTTTCAGAAACATTTATTTTCAAATGCTACAGATATCTTTCTCTTCTTTCACAGTTGTATTTTGTGGGCATTTTTTTCCTTAAGACTAAAACAATTTAATTAGACAACACAGAATTCAGTGTGTGCTTTATTCTCCTTTTAATGCCTGACATCTCCATTAAAAAATTATCCATATTATGTAAATTATAGGAAGCCTGATATTTAAAGAGATTGTCCTCATTTAGTAGCTCTGTAGATTTTTCAAACATTGCAGAGAAGTATCTCTTAAAGGTCAGTCTTTGTTTTACATTTTGAAATATCTTTTTTTTCATTCCTCAGAATATTAACCTGTGGAATTTTAATTTTGGAAAAATTTATTGTCATCTTTTTTACATGTCCACACCCTCGCTTGTAATTAGTACCCAAATTAATGCTTTACAAAGAAAAAATATTTGTTGCTTTCTTCATTAGATTGTCCCTCAATTTATCTAAAAAATCTACCATATAATTACAATATTTATACTTTCTTATATGTACTATGGTTTTGTTCCATTATTGAGGCTAAGATTAAAATGTATGTTTTAAACTTGATTGTCAGTATTTTCAAATTAAATGAAATCATGAATACAATATGATTTCAGATTTTTCCAAAAATGGTAAAATAATCCTTTACTTTGGCTATCTTTATTTGGAATCTTACAGTATGTACTGTTTGTTATTACTCATGAATAAAACTAGATTTTAGGAATTTAAAAGGAAACTGATCTTTAGGGATGCCACTTTTGGGCGACAAAGCATGCCAGCTATGGTTGTGATTCTGTGAGTAGCAAAAAGGAAACATGAGTGACCTGTAGTTTAAATTACTATCTTTTCCAGATTATAATAAAACCAATTGGTATACATTACCACATACCTGTATATGTGGGTAAGTTTTCCAGTGACCCACCATAATATATGTTGTAATTTATCATTGTACATTGTAGTTAGAAAACTAGAAACAATAATGATAGCTACCATGTCAGTCTATACTTACCATATCCCAGGCACCATACTTAGTTCTTTGAATATATCATCTCATTTAATTCTCATAACAGATTTGTCAAATAGATAGCAGTATATGCATTTTATAATTGGACAAAAGCAGCCACAACAAGTAATCTCCTCAGATCAACAGCAAGTAACTGTCAGAGCCCTGCAGCCTAGATTTAAATTTAAGAGTACGTGAATGCAAAACTGAACTAGTATATCTGACACTAAAGAATTCAGACACCCGTGTTAAATTGTAAGAGTAAAGCATAGACTTCTATACTTCTATGGAACTTCTACTTATATTTATTGTATGTTTGTATGCAGTGTAGGTCATAATTTATGCTATATTGTAGATAAATCACCATTAAGAAATTTTGTTTCTGAGTCAGGCATGGTGGTACACACCTGTAATCCAAGCATTTGAGAGACTGAGGCAGGAGGATTTTCATGAGTTCAAGGCCAGACGGGGCTGCATAGTGAGACCTTGTCTCAAAGAAAAAAAGTTTTTTCCAATTAGTAACCTAATTGTATGAAAGCCTTCTTTTCATCTTTTGCCATATAAAAGTATGCCTGTGCTAATCGGCTATTTATGTAAGAATTCAGTATTTTTTAAAAGTTTAATTGACACAAAATAATCATATGTATCATGGAATATACTGTGATATTTTCATGCATGTATACAATGTGTAATGATCAAATCAAGGTAACTAGAATATCAATTCAAACATTTTATTATTCTTTATAATGGGAACATTCAAAATCCTTTTCCTAGCTATTTAAAAAATGTGTAATTATTAAATATAATCACCCTACTGTATTATAGAATAGAACAGTGTTTCAGTTATTGACCACTAATATTTTCCTAGCCCCCATCCTTTCCCCACCCTTTGTTAATCTGTTTTCTAGATCAGCTCCTTTAATTCCCACATGTAATATGAATGAGAGCCTGTGGTATTTAGCCTTCTATGCCTGATTTATTTCATTTAATCCAGTGTCCTGCGATTTATCTATGTTGCTATACAGGGGAAGGTATTATTCCTATTTATTGCTTAGTAATATTCCATTGTGTACAAATACCACCTTTAACATTTTTTAAAAAATTTTTTGTTGTGCCGAGTATTAAAGCCACAGCCTCACATGTGCTAGGCAGGTTCTCTACCACTAAACTACACCCCACTCCCACCACATTTGCTTTATCTGGTTGTTGATGGAAAACTAGTTGATTCCATGGCCTTGGATTTTGTGAGTAGTGCTACAAGTGAGAATGCATACGGCTTTTTGACATACAGATTTAGAAACTCAGTATCTGTTTAGCTTTGTACCCTGACTTCCTGTTGATGAAGTGGACTATTCAGAGTGCACAAGCTTTATGAGGAGGGATCACTAAGCAGGATGAAATAGTGTTTGAACCGTTTGGTCAGCCTGCAAGCTGTCATCGGAACAGTAGAGTAGGTGCTGATGTTTTCTCTTTTTCAATGGGGCCGGCTTTCTTACAGGTATAATCCTGGATGGAGGGGAGATTTGTGAGCACTACTGAAAAGCGAAGACTCATAGATTACTTACTTTCTGAATCCATAGAGCACATGACTTATGCTCTCCTCAGGAGAAAATTCAGTTCATATAGTCTCTGAGATGTGTTAGCTTTTTGTGCCAGTTATCTTAGTTACAAGAAGCGTGGTGTTAACAATTTCTCAGGCTCCCAAATAATAGTATATCAGGCTTTCATTGCAATACCAAGACAAATAAAAACACTCAGAGTAAGCCAGTTAGCTTGAATGGAAAAGGCTAGTACTATATCAAAGCAGAGGACTTTGTAATTAAAATATTTTGCCTATTTATAAAGATAATTCTTTTTTATTATCTTATACTCAAATGTGTTTGTTTCAATAATTATGGTCTCTAATGCTGATAATAGCTGGAAAATATTAACAGTAAACCAATAAATGTGTCTTCATCTTCATTCAATGATAAAAAACATTGTCCTTAAACAATAGGCAGTGTTTGTTGAGTGCTTCGTCTGTGTCAGTACTGTGCTGAAGCACCTCACATTACAGTCTTATTTATTCCTTTCAATAGTTTAGTGAATGGTCAGTGCTCAGCTTTTATTTCATTTTACAAAGGAAGAAACTGAAGTTTATGAAAATCAGCTAAAATGCTACAGGTCACATACTCAGTAAATTGGCTGCTTTTAATCATGCTGTTTTGCATTCTCTAAATGATGGCTTACTGGATTTTTTTTTTTAAAGGGCTAAGTAAAAGTAGCTTGTTTCTATAGGAAGCAGTTTCATTTGTGTGGAAATAATGGAGAGAGTAAGAAACCCAACAGAGGGCTAACCAGGCAAGTTACCTACTTCTCTGTGTTTTGGGCTTTTTCATCTTTAAAGTAAAAAATAGTGAATGTTCCTAGTGCATAGCATTGGTGTGATGATTAAATGTGCCAACTGGAAGTGCTTACAGTGGTGCCAGATACACTGTAAAGACTTAGTAGTTGTTACCTCTCTCCTAAAGCAAAATCTTTCTCAGGTCAGAACTTGGTCTTGATCACATTCTCAGAGCTCAAAATTATCCCTAGCATGGAGGAAGCTTTCGGTGTATATGGGTGAATAAATACTTGATTAAAGACATTTGGCAGGGAGACTCAGGAAGCTGCTTTTGTCTAAGTTGTGCGTGCTCTAAAGAAACTTGGCATTAATTTTTTATTTCTAGCTCCACGTCATTTAAAAAGAAAGTCTTCTGAATCATTTCATTGGAGTGTTTAAAGCTTAGTGCATATCTATACCTTTGGAGATTAGTATATTTTGTAAGTGTGTGTTTATAAACACTTTATTAGAGAGTATTCCTTATGAAACCACTTACTTGTGAAGATTTTAAACAATGAAGTCTTCCCTGTAAGTATAGTACTGTAATCCTTTAATCTCTCCTAACCACAGTGTCATTACATTGTCCTTAAATTGGAATGGTTTTTACCTATGTATTGTTATACTTACAGGTTTTGGGATACGATAATATAATTTATATTTAACATATATATATTTAAAAAATAATTTGGTCATACTATTTTTGGAAGCATTTTTAAAACCTAATAATGAAGAAGCAGCCAGCCCAGCGCCCGCATCCATGCAAGCCACCATTGAGACTGTCCACAGGTAGCCAGTGCAAGCCAGGAGAACCATCAAGCCATGTCTGGAGAAGCCCACCCTGCATCCCACTACTTCCTGGGGAACCTGGGTTAGGAGAAAACCAGGTTCCTGACCCACCCACATACACTGTGGACAAGTAGCCAACAAGAGAAGTGCTGAGACCCCAAAAGCCACTGGTCTGAAGGAACCCAAGAAAATATAAAAACAAAGGAGCAAAAGGCAATCTTTGGACTGCA